CAGAATGTTTATACTGCTCTGATATACAGTACTGTTTATGGAAACAAATGAAAATCTATGGTTAAGGAGATTCCCAATGTATTTCCATAAATCAAAATTTACGCGAGTTCTTTCATTTGCGCTGACTTCGAAGACAGGAGGAATACCCAAGTATACAAAATATAGATATTTATTTATAAAAAAAATCAGTGCAAAATAATAATACAGTATACAGTAAATAATGCAAAATAATAATACAATAATACAATAATAATACAGTGCAATAATAATAATACAAAAATCAGTGCAAAATAATTGGTGACAACAAAGAATATGGATCAGATAATATCAATCAATTTGATAACACAGGTAATGCATAAAATGTAACCATTGGATATTAATTCAACAGGTAAATGTAACCAATATGTTTCATTAAAGAAAGAGAGAAAAAAAACTCTTTAGAAATTCTTATCTCTTTTGGAAGGCAAAGAAAGTAATCAACCAGCCCCATACAGGCTGGCACCGTCTTACTTGATGTGCTTCTGAGACCCCCACAATTTACGATCGGAGGCATGTTTATACTAACATTCCGATCTCCTTCTCTGACCGTCTCTTGTTTAAGGAAAATTAACTTATATTCACCTCATAGCACATAGACAAAATGGCTACCAGTATGCCCATAGACACATCTGTAGAATTACATGTTTAGGCCTGTGAAATTGATTCCTTTTGGCCCAATAGTTCTGACAACTATTGGAATTGTGTGCCTCCCCCTGCTACCGAGCCATCAGCTGGATAGATCATTTCTGTCTTCATTTCGATCTGCTGCTCTAAACTGGGGTTCCCCTATTGGGTATTCTATTTAAAGGGGGTGGGTATTTAAATGGAGACCTAGACGTCAGTGACTCCGCACCCCTGATGAAGTCACGTGAGACCTAACGCGCGTAGGGCGTACTGACGTCACTATTCTGATCTGGCCGGAAGGACGGGAGAGCGTCCTCGTTCGTGGAGTATTGAGCTGGATTATTGCATCTCTCTCCGCTGTTTTGTTTTAATTCATTCCATGTGAGTAAGTTTTTAAAGATTAAAGTTTTTTATTTATCTGGACGATACGCACTATGAGTTTATTGCTTATCTCTTTCTGGATGGATACCATTATGAACTGGTCCGGTGTCTATGCCTAGAGGGTGTCCCTCCCCGCCAAGAAGGGAACAGTGTTTTATGACCTTTACTGGTCATTAGCTCAGGTGAGCACCCACCTGCACACCACTATTTTATCACATGTGGATTGAAGCATCTATTTCAGGGGTCTCACAGTACCGGTCCACAGGCCAACTCCGGCTGGCGAGTCGGTACTATGTAGCCCGCAGCCAGCTGACAAGTCTTGCAGGAGCAGCTACACGGTCTGCATCTCTGTCGGATGCAGACCGCAGAGCTGCTCCTCTCAGCTCCAGTTCTGTCAGTTCTGAGCTCCGGCCGAATGATGGGCGAATGACCTTAGATCTAGACCACTAGATCACCAGGAAATAATGATGTGCCTCCTCTCTGCACAGATGCAAGCAAGGGGGCTTGGGAGGAAAGGAGGGAGTGTATTATATGTGTGCTGGGAGCGTGGAAGGGGGTAGCAACTGTCACCCATTCAAGTTAATGATCAGGTGACAGCCGCTGCATGTACACACCTGCATGTAATCGTACGTGATATGGCCCGCAGCCAGCTGACAAGTCTTGCAGGAGCAGCTACACGATCTGCATCTCTGTCAGATGCAGACCGCAGAGCTGCTCCTGTAATGGCTTTCCTGCTTCCCGACCCCACGACTCCACAAGTCTCCTGGGCACACCGCTACGGGGTTCTAGCCATGTAAGCTCTGGCCCGGGTGAGACCCCTGGATTATTCCTCAATCATCACCTATCACTGCTTATTTAATTTCTTCTCATTTTTTCGCCCCCCCCCCGGG